TACCAATTTGTTTTTATTTTTTCTCAATTAAGCTTCGCTAATTAATAATCAACGAAAATTCCTCAAAAAATTCCGGAAATCATCTGGATTTTTTTGGATTTTACAATCTTGCGCTTGGGCATTACCTTACATTCACGCTAAATCACGATGTTCAAATCAATCTCCCTTGCAGAGTTGTCGTGCGTTTCTCTCTCATACATATGAGCCGTTGGTGGAGAGTGTGTTCAAATCAGAGAAGACAAAAGTAATACTAAGTAGATATATATTTGTTATTGTATAATTTCTCTAATAAGAAATCAGTAATATATATGAAAAGAATATATAGCAAATTTCCAATGAAAATTTACACGTATTTGTCATAGGGGTCGGAACCGGGGGGGGGGGGGGGCTTAGCCCCCCTTTTTTTGCAAAGATAGACATAATATAGGCATTGAAAATTGGGGCTTACCTTTTTTCGTTGGTTTAGCCCCCTCCCCCCCCCAACTTTCAAATAGCCACCCCACTTTCAATTTGCCTCTGACGCCTATGTTTGTATTATCGTAATCGTTTCCGAGTTTATATCCATACAAATGTGATATTGTGGCCGTGGGTAATCATTCGCCATCTCGGAGACACATTTATTATATGTTATTTATATCTCTGGCCATCTCAACGGAGGCAAAAAGCTCATGATCGTAGGAGCAACATTAATGTAACTACCCGATTTATTTTATCCCTCCTTTTTTTTAATGCTTTTTTGAGGGGAACTGAAGGGGGGGGGGTGTTACAACTCCATGCAGTTAGAATCACTTAGTGAAGTAGGCATTCTTTTTCCGCCAAAAATTACAATAATAACTAATAATTTAATTTTGTTTGTATTCTAACCTCTGATTGGTTAATATCCAAAAAGGAACACAAATTATTTCTGTATAACCTGGTTTGGTATGGGGACACACCCCCTGACAACCAGCTGAATCATCTGTATCCATTCAATCCTCTCATTTCCAGTCCTCGGGATTCATGGAAAATTCCAGATTTAATGAATGTACCAAACAATAATTCGATCTTACCACATGTAAACAAACAACAAGGCTGCTAGGCCTATGTATCAGTTTTTACCTCCCCTCGCTTCCCATTACTTCCGGTACTTCCGTTACTAAGGTTGTATTATTGAGCAGCAAATTTGAACTAATAAAAAGCAACGAAATTTTACACCCATAGTTATTTAATGATTTTAAAATTAAATTATAAGGAATGATTCTAATTCTTGGCCAAATTATTCGCGTATAACCTGGTTTGGGTCAGTTTACGCTGTTTTATAATCCGCTTCGCGGATTATAAAGCGTAAACTGACCCAAACCAGGTTATACGCGAATAATTTGGCCAAGAATTAGAGTCATTCCTAAACTATATAAAAATTATAGACTCGAATTTTTGGCCTTTAATACCGATAAATCGGAAGAAAACTGTCTTTTGTTTTATGTATTTTAAACATCATTGGTACTTGAAGATTACCAATTTGTTTTTATTTTTTCTCAATTAAGCTTCTATTTTTATTACTTTTTCTATGGACTATAATTCAAGGATATTACATTAATTTTTATCAAAACAGACAGTCTTTTACAGATTATATACCTGTCTATTACCTGTGTATATATAAAGTATATGTATTAGCCGTGCTTAACTCTTTTATTGTTGAGGTCATATTTTGAACAAGTTGAGATCTGCAGTGTTAAAATTGTTACAAAAATTTTTACACCTTTACTTTAATAACTGATTGTGTAAAAATACCAGCTTAGCACATTTCTTCATTTTCATTACTTTGCTTGATATGTATCAGCAGTGTGCTCAACTCTTTGCTGTTGTCATATTTTCAATGAACATCCATAATTTCTTTTATTAAATTTTTTTGTAAGGGTTAAATTTATGTAAGCTCCGGCGTGTTTCGAACTCAAGACTTGATTTATAGCTAACTGGTGGTCAAACCCATTCTGCGCTACGCCGTTAAGCAACAATTTAAAAAAAAACAAAAGCAAAACAAAACAAACACCAAAAAAAAAAAAAAAAAACCAACCAGAATTATATTCACATTCATTGTTAATTTAAAAAATACCTTACAATATGAATGTGTCGATGTATCTATTTTGTAAATGTCCGATATGCACATGGATGCATTCAACCCGTGCACGCACGGGTCAAAGTCTAGTATATCCTTAAAAATTAAGAAAAACAGAGGAAATCCGAATTAGCCAATATCTATTTAAGTTAAATAATGTCAATTAATTTGGTAGAATCATCTGATAGACCCGATATGGTAACATCTTTTTGTGCAAAAAGAAAAACATTTTATCTTTTAAAATAGAAGTAGGCATCACATGATTAGCAACAGTAATTTTTTACTCTAAATGTCAAGAAAAAAGATAATGACCTTGACCTGACCTTGTGTCTAAAATAAAACGGTCAAATTTAATCTAATTGATACCATCACTTAGTGATATTGTCTTCTTGAATCTAAGAAAATTTCATTAATTTTTAAATAAAAGAAATATGAGTAGAATAAGAGAAGAATCCCTCCTTAAGTGTGCAACACTACTTCTACCCATGACGTATCAGCTGACAAAGTTTAATAATTCTAGGCCTCATAGTATTTAAGTTATGAGCTGCATGGACACACCAGACAGACAAATTGACATGAACGCCATACCATAATACGTCCTGTCTTAAGATGGGTGTATTAAAAAAATATAGTCAGTGTAGACAGGTAATGTGATTTTTTTCTGCAATGATTATGACTGTTCAGATGAAAGATCCTATGAAAAGTTGACCTTTGACATTTCTTTAAAAATCTTTCATACAGATGGCACCTTAAATTACTTAAGAAACAGTTAATTGGTTCAGAAAAACCACATTTGGTTTTCATATGAAATAAAGGAGAAAAAATATTTAGTGGATGTACATACAGGTATGCAATGTCATCTAAATCCTTGTAAAAGAAAAGATCAATTATTATTTGTGTCTTTAAATCCTTATTAATGACAAAATGTGTTTGTGAAACACTCATGCCCCCACTTGGCAGCTCATAGCGAGGGCTAAAGTTTCTCTAATGCAAGTCAAACTCCAAGGTCAAGGTCAAGAGATCAAAAATGTTGGTACCCAAAGAAAGGTCTTTTCACAAGGAAATACACCTATGAAACAGGAAAGCCTTAGCACCAACTGTTCAAAAGTTATGGCCAAGGTTAAAGTTTTTCTAAAGTAGGTCAAACTCCAATTCAAGGATAAAAGGTCAAAATTGTTGGTACCCAAAGGAAGGTCTCGTCACAAGGAATACAAATATGAAAAATGAAAGCCCTAGCACCAACTATTCAAAACTTATGGCCAAGGTTAAAGTTTTTCAAAAGTACATCAAACTGCAAGTTCAAGATGAAAGGATCAAAATAAATGATATCAAAGGGACGGTCTTGTCGCAAGGAATACACCTATGAAATATGAAAGCGTTAGCCATTCCAAAGTTATGGCAAAGGTTAAAGTTTTTCAAAAGTACATCAAACTTAAAGGTTATGGTCAAAATTGTTGGTCCTAAGGGAAGATCTTGTCAAAAGAAATACACATGTGAAGTATGAAATCCCTTGCACCAACAGTTCAAAAGTTATGACCATGGTTAAAGTTTGGTAAATATTTGCAAAAGTGGGTCAAACTCCAAGGCCAATGTCAAGAGGTCATATATGCAGATATGTTGGTACCCAAAGAAAGGACTTGTCACAAGGAATACACAAGTGAAACATGAAAGCCATAGCTCCATCCAATCAAAAGTTATTGGTAAGGTTAAAGTCTTTGCAGACAAACACATAAACAGACAAATGGACAGAGCAAAAAATATATGCCCTTCAATTATAGGGCATAAAAACAGTAGTCATTATTTTTGTGTCTCAGGTTTTGGTCTAACCCTTGATAATCTAGCACACCTTGAGGCCTTTGGTCATCAAAAATCAGCTGAGGCATGTGTAACAACACAGAAGCCAGTAACCATAAAATTTTTTCCACAATAAAATTTTGTTGGTTGATGGATTATTGTAATTTTACGTCCCTTGCATGATTACTTCACTCATGTAAAATGTCACAGGATGCAGTGAGGGGCTTCAAATTGAGACCTTTACTTGGCACTCATGGTCAATGAGCAGTGAGGGATCTTAGCATGCCAATGCCTCCCATGATACGGGGCCTCAGTTTTCATGTCTCATCAGAAGGACCCTCAAGTTCCACATCAAAGTGCCGTACATTTGGCAAAAGGAACAGTTACTACCTATTTTTTTTATCAGTTTAGGTTTGTGGTGGCAAAGGCATGACATGAACCCATAACCTTCTGATCATAGAGTGAGTGTTGGTATCCTTGTTGGTTGAAAAATCTTCGGACCTTTGATGTTTATTGCCAAATCTTGGTACAAGGTGACTATTTTCACAAAAACAATGTTTGTGAAAGACACATAATCTAAATCATTAGCCAATTTAAACGTTATCAGAAAAATGTGGTCATTTTCCTTGATGTTGCATTCAAATATTATCCAAACAGTTTAATAGGTTTATTTCTGTACAGTATACATATTATGTAAAAAAAAAAAAAGGTAATTGTCAATAACGAACGTACAGAACACTTTGGAATTTCTACAGGAAAATTACCTTTTATGCAACACCTGCTTTACATCAAATTGCATAAGCTACGTATCTTGTAAAAATGATGAAATCTTGTCATTTCAAGCTGCAACTAAAAAATTGGCCCGATATATTCTCGAGTTATATGACCAAGCTTAATCTAGCAGTGTTCTGTACATAAAGTACATGCATCTAGCACACTCCGACACCTAGGATTATAGGACTGTCAGTTGATGTATCTTTAAGCCAACAGCTATAAATACTTACCTTTTTAGTCACATCTGTAATATTTCAGGTGACAATTTCTTCTCCCTTCAGCCTTTTATATTTATGACAGACCTTGTACAAACCCACAAAACAAAACAACAAAATAATTTTACTGGTGTTTTGATGCTGTATTTGCATAAAAACATTCTATGCCGTACACAGTATCATAAGTATCAAATATCACAAATTGCATTTATACAAAATGGAGAAATAAATACATTGATAACAGAGCTACAGATTGCAGTGAGAAGCAGTCTCAGTAGTACCACACATTCATTCATTGTACACAGAAAGCTGTCCAATTTCTGCCAAAATTATACACATCTCATTTAATTTTTTTTCATATTGATGATTATTTTGAAAATAAAATGATCCTCCCATAAGAAACATGGGTACATGTTCACTGAGTTTGAAATACTATAATGACTTTCACATAAACATGAAGGATTCATGTACAGTGTAACACAAAGATAACACAAGTCTGTTTCTGGGTAGAACTTGATCAATGAACACAGCTTCTCTTTATCATCTATGAAAGCTAACAGCTGACAGGTCAGGGATTTAAAAAGTTGTAATATTTTGAGAATTACAGATCATTCCTCCATAATTGATATAATTTCAAAGTTAATACAAAATCCTATGTTTATTCTTTATTTAACAAAACACTAACTTTTCATTCTAACCAATACAAATTTATGAATAATTTTTTCACAGTATTTTCCGAATGTACTGAAGTTTGTTCATTGTTAGAAAAGTATCCAATCTAGCCTTTAGCACAAAATCCCATTAATGGAAGGTCTACTCCAGAACTCTATCTTCTACCTGTGTTAATATTATTTTGATTGAACATTGAAAATTTCTTATAGCCCATCATCATCAGTCTCAATGCAAAGCTATGCTTAACAGAATTATTTAATAAGCTGCCACAACCTAAGACTTCAAAAAGGGTCACTCTGACAATCAAAATGGACTCCTGTCTAGATAATACAGCATTTCTGCCATTTTAGCAGTATCACAACCTTGTGCTAGATAGTCTAACAACCTAAAGTACGTGAAGACTTTAGAAGTTCTTGTACCGAGATATGTCACCTTTTTTTTTTTTTTAAATTTCAACGAGCAGTTTGCAGCAGATAACCTCCACATTTACAATCTATTGTTCATTACACTGAATGGATTATAAAAGAATAGGTGTACTTAACAAAATGTATTTAAAATGACAGACAAAGAAGGCTATCTATGTTTGTACCTACCAAATTGCACAACATTTGAATGTTAAATTACTGAATATGTTTGCATAGACAGCCGTTTTATAAATTTTAGTTGGCTTACATTTTCAAGAGTAATCTATAAATGATGTATAAACTGAGATTTCAATGAATACATGATAAGTATATAATTTTGTTCTGATAATAATGCTGGTTTTTGTTTTATACATGATTCTAAGACAATATTATTGCTGGTTAAATGATCCAAAACTGCCTACTTGAACATATCTTTCATACACAATACACAAGGTTAATAAAATAATTTTAAAAATCTACTTTACTATCTATTTACATTTAATTTATTACTTTCTATATAAAAGTGAATGCTTATGTATATACATGTATATGTACATTTCTTTTTTAACACATTACATGACTATCTACTGTTTTTTTGAATTCTCATATAAGTTGAAAATTTTCTATAGCACTTTTGGATTTCAAACCTTTGTGGCACATTGTCTGTGCTCAATGTTTAGGGACAAATTTTGGGCAAGCCTTTATTTTTCACATCTTCAAACTATATAAGTTTCAAAGTAGGCAATATATTCAGACTTCTCAGTGCTCCTGATCAAAACAACTTACTGGAATCACCCTAAGTCAAAGGTCAAAGTCTGATTCCTTATTTCATCAACAATTAAAAAAATCATAACTTTAAAGATATTTCTTAATTTTCATAATTTTAAATGCTTTACATTCCCCCAAAAATACAGTTGGAAAGTGAAAGAGACAGGTTTGAAGTGGAATGTAGTCTATATATTACTTGCAGTAACAAACATATATTCATAATTCCAGAACTCTTCTCTGTCCCTGTTCAATTCTGACATTGTAAAAATAGGTTGACATTTCAATGGATATTCCATCCGGAATTACTTTTAAAGAAAATTTGCGAAATCCACATAAATTTCTTAAGAGTACTACATTTGTATATGTGAATCTTACATTTTACACTATTTATCTTCATATAAATATTTATACATGTATTATGCAGGTCAAGACTGAGGTAACTTTTCATGCTGGGTAAGAGTTATTTCCCTTAGAACTTGGACAGGAAGCAACAATAAACAGATCTCCATTTTCCTTGCTATAAATGCATTTGACTACAGCATGGAACACCGACAATACACACAAACACACACACATAGTGATGGTTAGATGATTCTTCTGTAGTTTTGGTCTTGGTAAAGTAAATGCCATTAAAAATTGTATGAGGAAAATTGACCATGGATGATACAAATGAATTTTCACATATAAATATTTTCTGTATAATACATGAAAATTTGGTAGAAATCTACCAAGTACTCTATACAAACAACAAATCTACCACTCTACCTTGTAGGGTTTTATAATATTCCCAGGTCTGATTTAAATACACCTGGTACTCTCAGCTTAATATATGACATCAATATCTTGACTCCAGATACACATAAGTGGCCAACATAAATAAAGGCTGTATTTATGGAAGAGTCTTCCTGACTCACATTTTTTTAAAAACAATTTATAATGTTATTTATAGATTTGCTATTTGTACAGTTAGATGCTAATAATTTGTTACAACCTAAAGTAAAATGTATTAATAGTTCATCATGTGTTCGGTGGTTCGGCGGTGCATGGAGTTGTCTGCTCCTCCTTGTCGGCGGACATGTTGGGGGGACTGCTGTGTCTGACCCTCAGTCCCGCTAGGCTCTCCCTCGTCTCCACTCTCGCGACTTTTGTCTTTGGTCCTGAATTTCTTCCTCCAAGATGGAGCTCGTCTCAACTTCCCTCCTTCACCCTGAAAATTCAAACATTTGTCAGGTATCCCCCAAGAAAAAAAAATCTCTTTACAATTAGTAGGAAAACAATAATAATGTTCATATTAATCAATAAGTAAGTTTAAATTCAGAATAACTTTCTACTACATGTAGTTCTTCTGAAAAGAGATAAAACTGTGATAAAATTTAAAGTAAATGAAGTGAAATTAGTACATGTATCTGTTTCTAGGTTTTCTTGTCAGGTCTGGTGATTCCCTGACATAAAGATAAGATGTAACCCTATTTTCTTATCACATATTTCCATCATATCACCTTCCTGGATAGCTTTGCAAAAATCAATACATAGGCATAGGTTTGCTTCATGGGTGCCTTGTCAAACAGAAACACCTTATTCAAAAAGTGTGAGCACTACCAAAATTTAAATAATTTATAATAATAAAACAGTATATTGAAATTAAAAGACTTCACTTAAAAAAAAAACCTTCATGAATCCCTGAAAAAAGTGTGTAATATTCCAGTTCATATTGACTTGATCTAATCTTATAAGCATATTCATGCATATTCATATTGTAGATAATCATTATAATCTATACTGTTTTTACATGTATATAACATATAAGCAACTGTGTAATCTACACTACCTTAATATTCAACTTCTGGTCTAAAAAGCTCTTGAATTTCATGCAGTATGACTTGCTGTTGTAGGATGTTATGACTGAATAAAGTAAGCCATTCAGTAGAAGATACAATGTCGGTATGATGAGTTGTTTTATAAAGTTATGTGACAGGAAATAATGATTCATTATGATACGGATATTTAATTACAGCGGAACTGAAGAACGTAGAGACTTCAAGTAAATATACACAGAATAATCAAAATAGAAAACATTTGTACCTTATCTTACAGTGCCCTGTGAATTTAGAGATAAATTTGAAATTCATTGTGTTATTTGGCTTTGATTTTACAAAATGTGTTACATATACCTCAAACCCCAGAAATCACACAAAAATACCAGTGTTTTCAACTCATCAAACAAAGACTGAAAAGTGATTTATTTTAAGAAATTTCTGGTTATATAGTTGAAAAAGTGATATGATAAAAATCATTATGAACAAAAGCATATATAAAAGGCCTCGTATGTCCCAAGTAATGCCAGTCCAAAATGCATCAGGTGTTATGGCATGAAAGCTGTTAATTTGTCTCACCTAAGAAAGATACTAATCCCTTCCTTTTTTTCTTCTGAAAATTCAAATTCAGCGGCAACATTAGCATTAAACTAGCATAATGATAATATAAAGTATTTGTCAAATTCTTTTTCATTCCCTTTCCTCAATCTCTTTTTGCACTGAGCATGGTTAGATATCTGAGCAAAAAAATATTTTTTTAAAAAATTGCAAAAAACAATCAAACATTGCAAAATGATTTTTCTCAAAATAAATTTAATGCTTGAGATAAAAACAAAAAAAGAAATGCATGCAACAAATCTGGTAACCATGCAAACATTACAGCATTCAGAAATGTTTTGCAATTAATTCATACTGGTACACATGTATTTTGAATTCCTATGATAAAAATTAATCAAAGGTAAAATATATCTACTTTACTTAATTTGAAAACAAAAATCAATTTCACTTTGAAACAAAGGAAAATAATAAAACATCACATTTAAAAAGCTCATAATTAAAAAAATATAACTCATACATGATGCTTTACTTTCTAACACTTCTGTTTCAAGTCACATTCCTGGACACTTTCACTCACCATCACAATGGATTTACGATTGGATAACATCAGGATCAAAGGTGACAGGATCCAATCAAATGTCACACAGGGGAGTCAAATCTAATTGTAATATAATGACTGACCTACCTCGTCCAAACGTCTGTCTGTTCCCAGGATCAACATGTTCCCAAATTCACGCTCTAAAACCTGGCGTGCCTGAATAAGATAATTTTATGGTTTTCATACATGTACATATAATCATACTACTCCATTTACTCATAAGACAGCTGTAGAAAATCTTTACTGGCAGTGTAGCAAATCGTAGAGAGTAGAATTTTCAACACTAGAATCTTTTGTATTGCAGTGATGTGTAAGAACATGTTCATAAAGTAATGTGGTGGGTCTGAACATAATCATTTGATGCAGCAATGTTACAAAGTACAAAGCCTGTAAACATTTACGGTTGAGTTTAAGTATCTCAAACATTGATATCTCAAACTCCATACATATGTCAAAGTGAATTTGAGATGTCCAAACCCTTTTCGATTATGCATTCTAACCTAAATATCTTGAATCCTCAGATACCTCTTTTTTGCTCATCCCCATTTAAGATAACAAGGTTTGACAGTAATCCTATATTGTTTCTAACCTGTGAGCTTTGGCTTGGAATCTGTAGGGCTAGTGCCATACTGTTGGCATCAAAGCTTTCATCTAAGGCAATTAGAGCACCATGAACCCCAGATTCTATTAGATTATTTGCATATTCCCGTAAACCTATGGATTGGACCCACTTTATAAGTCTCTCATTGGACCACACCAGTATATCTGAAAAACAAGATGGAATGACACTCAAACTACACAATTAAAGGGGTTTTCTTTTTTCCCTCTCTTTTTTTAAATTTCTTTTCAACAAATACTATGTATATATATGTTTGTTTTAGAAAGCTATTTACAAAATTCGATGTGTACATGTTTATTGTGTCTTCTCTAATATTCAAACATTACCTTTAATTTCTGTAGCACTTTCTTCTCGTCTCCTTTCCAATTCCTTCTTGTCATAATTAACACGTTTTAAACAATTAATCGCATACTGTAAACTTGTTCTGAAAGAGAAAATGAATAATGTATGGTAGCTGGTTTCAAACAATTATTAATATATACAACACAGTACATCAAATAGTGAATACTCCAAAGAAATGTCAAATCGCTAGATCATCTACCGGTACATTCTCAAGAAGTATTTTCACTTCAAAAATTGCTCATTTCTGTTTATGAAATCAACACTGACCTATGAAAGCTATCCACCATTTTGAGTTGTCCCCTCAGATCTTTTTTGGTCAGATGATCCAGCATCCTTGCGTCCACCAGACACTCCATGAAGTGACTGCGATACTGAGGGAGACCAATCGACGGAAGCCATTCATTGCCAATCCATTCATGATTCATGTCACCAAACGCCAGGGTCTACAACAAACAGCGAAACAAAACTGTTAATTTTTCTATCATGAACAAAATTAATAAATTGGCAATTAGTAACGAAATTGTAAATTTCGCAATGATTAACATAATTGTTAATTTAGCAGTCAGTAACAAATTGTTAATTTGGCAAGCATTAACAATTAACAAAATTTGGCAATCCTTGCCAGGGTTAAGGTTCATGTAAAGTCAAATCTGAACTTAGTGAATGAATTCTTCAGAGAACAAAATGAAGCAAATGAGAAGCATATGCATTACAAGAGTTATCATTACCATCTTTAAGGTTATAAAAATTTCTGCAGAAGACAAAACCTACATTATGTTAAAGAGTGCTTTATTGTGAATGTGAAAATAAAACATGTTTGATTTAGGAAAAAAGAGTATAAAATATTGCTTTTAATTCATCTATATGATTCTTGAAATTTTCATGAATAAGGGTGCAAAGATACGGTATTCCGTGTTAATGGTCATCTGATGTCCACCTATACTTACAGAACTGGAAGTTTTGGGTGCAGATGGACTGGTCAGACTGACCATCTCCTGGATGGCTAGTCGTAACTTCAGACGATGTAGAGGATTGCTGATTCCTATTTCTCTCTGTATCTCCTGATCAGAAAGTGCAGACATGATTGCACCACTTTTGACATTAGCTCTACATGCTGCTACATACCAAGCAGGCATACCCACCCACAGCTGAAAATACAAATAAATCTTTCTGACTGGAAAATCAAAAAGCAACTTATGAAAAAGCAACTAATTACTGAATATCAATCTTCAAACGTGAACCCGTAGTTTTAAAAATCTTGTTGAATCTGATCACTTAATAATATCTTGCATATTTATCAATAAGAAAATTACATTCTTTTATTAAGTGAAAATTTACATGTTTGACTTGTGTATTTATCCCTAAGAAAAATATATTCTTTTATCAAGGGGAATGTACCTGTTTGAGTTGCGTATTTATCAATGAGAAAATTATATTGAAAATTATATTCTTTTATTTAGTGCAAATATACGCGCTTGACCATTTGATTAATACCTCTAGCCAGGCTACCACTGTTGGTCCATTCCACAAAGCAAAAGGTGTACCCGCCTTCATAGCTTCCTCTAGCAGTTCATGCCTGTTACATAATAATTCATTCATTCATTATAAATAGCTCCTTGAATTTCAAATTAATGTGAAGGGACTCTCTTACTCTTGAATTTATTAGAGGTTTTAGTGAATCTTACTTTTTCTTTTTCCTCCTGTCATACTCCGATTGACCCAGGCCAAGAGTCAGGGCATCCCCAGCACCCACATCACTCAGGTCCGCGAATGCACCCCCTGTACAAAAACAAGATACGTAAATCAAGGATTACAAAGCTTTACTCAATGATTGTCATTTATAAATGAGATACAGCCTTGTATCAAATGAATGTTCAAATGATGCATTAGTTAATTCATCTTGAAAATTCTTAAATTACATATTTAAAAAAACTAAAACTGCCATAGTCTGCTTCCCTAGATGCCTTTAAAATTTGGTCAAAGTCTGGTTTAAAGTTACTTGGGCATGAACCTGCTTCAAAAATTTAATCCCTATGCTCATCCAGAAAAGATATGTCAAATACAGCATCCTTGGCATGAGTAATAGTGTGTGTTTCTCTTTATTCATTGTCAATTATGGTTTAATGTGGGAATTATAGTTTTTGGACAAATGTTACTGCTAACAAGAAGTCCAAGGGCCTTAACGGTCACCTGAGTAAAATAACACAATTTTGAGGATCCATAAGCTGATAAATGAAGCTTTGTTGCCCAAAAGCAAGAAAAATAGTTGGAAAAAGCAAGAAAAATAATTGGTCTAGTATTTATCTGTCCCCAATTTATCACTATTACCATGCAGACTTTTAACAAAATGTCTATTTTTAACCCCATATAATTACTTTTCACATTGGCCTCTCTTGGCCTTTGAAGAACATTTAAAAAGATAAGTTATTTTTGTCTTGTTTTTATTCATCTATTACTTCCAAGTCTACCTGATCATTAAAACTATGAAAGTACTTTTTGTATTATACAATAAATATTCTTGCATGATTCTCTTATTCTATTAAGCTTTCAAGTACATTGTTTACAGTGATTAATTATCAAAGGTGAATGGCAAAGGGGAATAACTTTGCTAAGCGCAGAATACAAGTTAATAGAGCCCTGGCCAGGACCAGAACACTTGACTATAAAAATACCTTTGCATATTAAAACTTGTACTCTGTTTGCCTCGAATATGCCCAGAAGCATAGAAGATTTTCAAAGAAATGCATTTTCACTACATAATCAATAGAGCCCCGCCCTAACACCAGAACCCCTGACCCTGGGGTCATGAAATTCAATTTTCGAAGAAGCAGTCATGCTCATCATAACTATGTACTTAGTTACTTAATTTAATACCCAGAAGCAGAGAAGAAGATTTTCAAAGGAATAATTCACTTTCACTATATGATCTATATAGCCCCACCCTAGCACCAGAACCCCCAACCCTGGGGCCATGAATTTCACAATTTTGGTAGAGGACTCAATGCTTATTACAATCATGCCAACAGTTTGACTGCTTGATGTCCAGGAGTAAAGAAGAAGATTTTTAAAGACTGCATTAATTTTGGTGGTTTTAGCCCCACCCCTCAGGCCCAAAGGGGGCAGGGACCATGAAATTCAAAATTTTTGTTCCCCTTTACCCATAGATGCTATATACCAAATATGGTTGAAATTGGTTAAGCAGTTTTAGAGAAGAAGCTAAAAATGTTCAAATGTTAACGCACGACGCACGCCGACGGACGAAAACGGATTGCAATAGGTCACCTGAGTGACTCAGGTGACCTAAAAATCACATCAGGTCAATGATTTAGAAAATAACAGACACTCAGATGCAGCATTCAAAGCATGACTTGTGGCATTCATTCCTGGATACAAAATCAGAACAAAATGTTTTTTCAAATTATGGGTAACAATGCAGATTTTTTGGAAATGGATCTGCTCTAACAACTTTAACCTGCACTTACTTAGAGTAAGCAGACATCAACATTAACACCCAAGCTGGGATACCATTAGTTCAATGCTAAGTAAGGTGCGCAGAAAACTGATACATGAAAATGGGAACATACATATACATTATATATGTTTACCACACTAATTTCCTGAATATTCTATGTGCCATATAAAATAAATACTATACACACTTTAACTATATTCTTTTTTCTGTAAGCCATCTTGAAAACAATTTTTATGGAGGGTCCATCATAATGAGAAGGGTCCCTTATGTATTGCCACCATGTTAAACTGAATGCCACAAAGAGAAACAAACTACAAAATACACACCAGAAGGAAGCAGCTCTTGAGGTAGACCTTTGGCTTTCTGCTTTTCCTTCTTGCTGAAGAGTCGGCCCAGTGAGCTCTTGATGCCTTTTTTCTTTTGTTGCTGCTGTTGCTGTTGTTGCTGGTTTTTGTGGAGAGAATCTTGGCTGCTGTTTGGTGTACTGAAAGGACTCTGAGAGGACTGGGTGGTATCTATTACAGTTCTACTGCAAAAAGAAAATAAAAATGTTTTTTTCAAACAGAACAGCAAAAACATATTTGGTACAATCTTCTATTCCAGTGTTGTGTGTATGGGGTGTTCTGGGGGACTTTCCTACATGTAGGTGTATTCTGTACAGAAGTATTATGTCTGGCCATGGCTAATTGATGCCTTGGAGACTGTGGAGTGGGGAACTAGATTTCTTACCTTGGTGTATCCTCTACAGAAGTATTATGACTGGCCGTGGCTCGTTCAAGCCTTAGAGATCGGGGGGTTGGGGGACTAGATTCACACTTGATTTGTCGATTCTCCTCATTAATGGTTGAGTCATCTCTACTATACATCTGAAATGGAGAAACAATGCTTGTCACATAAATACTTCTACCCTGTTGTATGTACATGCATCTTTGAATATATGATTGCAACAAATACAACAATACTTCTTTAGGATTTCTTAATAATACTTCTTTGAAATATAAATTATTTAGTATTAAATCTATAGCACAACTCTTTTTTAATAGATGATACACATACATTTTTTTAATGCAGATTTTGTGGCTAAGTAATGATTAAGACTTGTACCTGACCAACAGACTTACCTGTGATATATTGTTTTCATTGGCAGCAGTAGCTAACTGAGGACTAGAGGAGGAGTAGGTATACAGGTGGGCAGTGGACATTCCAGCAGGAGCCTGAAACACACATTTCAATCAGCTTCTCAGTTTACTCACACACAGGTAAACTGTGAATCTTCAAAATTTATACTTTAAATATAAAATTAACTCCAAGGTTTCAAACTTGAGATTTTTTGTCCTGTACATGCATACAGTTTTCGGGTAGGGAGATAGAAGTGTGTGCAGATGTCAAAATATCATGCTTTTTCTACTTTATACCTGTCAGAGAAAAAGCTAAATGTAAATCAAATCTGGAACAAAGTACAACTGTACTAAACAATATCAAACAGAAGTCATGCACAGTATGTGTGGAAATGTGCTGAATACACCAACCATTTTTTTTTTTTGGTAAAGAATATCTAATGCAAAACATTCTCTATTTTTGGAGTAAATTTCCTTGCTGAAAACACTATGTGCAGTTCTCTGTATATACATCATTTTATACCAGCACATTTGAAACACATCAGATGATAGGGAGTCAGTAAAACCAGTGTAAAATAATAACAAAACTTCACTTGACCAATTTCAAATAAACTCCAAATTTAAATCAAGAAATCTTTGAGAAATATGGAAAGGAACTTTACTAGGAAGAAAAAAAATTTAATCCTCAAAATTATAGAAATGATTTAATGTGGAAATGAAAAATGAGAGTTACACCAAGAATGAAAGAAAACCAAACCTAGAGAGAATGGAACTACCACATCCACAACAACAACCACTGACTCCCCACTTACGGTATGGTACTTTTGAAGGTAATCTCTTGTTTGTAATGAACGAGTAGTGGGCGTCGCCCTCTCGCTCAATGGCGGAGAGGTGCGCCATCTGTTGGCAATCGTATCAAGACTACCACTCCCTACCCGACTTTCCAGTTCTTCAGCTCTCTGCTCTGTGGTTTCTTTTTCTTCTTGGATTAACCTGAAACATCAATGATGTGGATAAATTTTTTTATTCTAAGATATTTATGATTCTAAAAAAAAAATTATGATTAAAATCCTTCCTCTTAATATTAGGAAGAGATAAACTTCACATGACAGAATAGGTAAAATTGCTAGTTTAATTTTTAATCATAAAATTCCTTCCCTTATGAGAAATCTTTTCCATTTTTGCAGGCTACTGAAATACCCAAATCTATCCTTGAAAATTTTTGATTCATTCTTAAGATCCCATACTATACCTAATTTCATTATTTATTGCATCTAACTGCTCTTGGAGCATGAGTGCCAGTGTCTGGGCATCAGTGGGGCCACTTGGGGACCACATATCAAATGCTTCAATCACAGACTCATTCTCGCTTCCCTCTGTGTCACTAGCATCAAATGCCTGCTGAAGTTTCTCCAGGATCTGGGCTTGTTTTAATTTCTCATGCTCCTGCTCATTCAGGGTGTTCACCTAGGGATTATTATAAATATACACATACTATCATTTACATCATCAAATAAAAAGGTGACCTTCAAAAATTAACTGGATTCAAACCTTTCCTATCTGAATCAAAGAAGGCTTGTCACTTGCAATATACTTATGGAATGAATGAACTAGCCAAGTTATACTGTATAATCTCAGTTGGGGTAGTTTATGCTTATAAACTGCAAAGCAGTAAAAAAAATAATAAATGAAATATTAACTGTTCCAACCAAGGTTATACAAGTATAACTTGGGTAGCTATTAAATTCATTCCTTATAATTTAATTTTCTATTTTTTAAGTGTAAACAATAAGACAATTTTCCTGTCAAACATGCCTTCAAATTTTTTAAACTGTTACCTCAAATGGATTGATAGCTTTTTGACTGAGTCATTGTGACTTGGGCAACACAGGTTATAAAATATAAATTTTTTTTCTATCCAATCAAATGTCATGTCACAACCAGGATTAACTTATCTGAGACTACAGAGGAAGGAAATATTGTGATGAAGCAGACCTTTGTTGGATCCTCCTCTAGAGACTGCTCTCGTCCCCTCTGTGACCTCCTGGTGACCTCATCCATAGGACTTCTGATGACGTACCCTGTACCTGGCCTGTAAACAAAATCATTCTCCATTATCCCTCAGGTACACTTACTTTATAATTAATTCTTTAACATTAAAGCAAAGCATAAAGAGTGATGGATGTATTTTATTTTGTGTGAGTATTGATGACCAGCAAGTACCTGGCAAGGTGTTCTATCTGCTGCCTGAGTGTGTCCACCTCCCTGTTAGCACGAACCAAATCCTCAGATATCCTTTCCTAAAACATTCAAGGAAAACTATTCAGCATGACAACATGATTTGAAATTTTCAACTTGCTGGCATGTATTAGAAAGATAATTATTATCAAGTTTGGATATTTTTTGGGAAGGGGGAAAGGGGGGGGGGATTCTTACCTTTTCTTGTTGAGTTTCATCCAAAGCCTTGCGGATTCGTTCAAGTTCCTGAGTCAGTTGATTTTTGTCCTCTAGAGCTCCCATTCGCTCTTTGAGATGTAGCTGTAGTCGCTCATTAGACTCGGCCAATAACTTGTCCACAGTTGCTGACAGCCTGGCATTGTGTTCTTCATTCATCTTCTCCCTCATTCTAGCCTGTAACACACACACTTACTGATTAAGGTTAATTACACAACACAATCTACAATCAAAACAAGGAGCAAAAGAATATCACTGTTTGTGATGGAAAAACACATTTTCACTGGGCAGTCTTAAGTGACAAGTCTGAGCTTCTGCTCTGATTATGATGAACTGCGTAAAAGGGTAGTAAGTATCTCTACAATTCTCTCGACAAGGATGATAAATAAACCCTACCCTGGACAGCTCTGCCTCGTTATCCTTCAGCTTCTGTTCAACTCTAGACACTCTCTCCTCTGCTGACCCGTGTAACTCCTCGGCCTTGTTCAATGCCTCCATACGCTGGGCAAGTTCAGCCTCCACAGTGGGCAGTGCTTCTGCCTTCTTCAGAGATTGTTGTAGTTTCTGTTCTGCCAGCTCAAGCCTCTCTTGAACCTGTCTAAGCTTTTCCTCAGTCTACAAACAAATTATTTTCAATTATTTTAAGATACCACACTATACATGTCAGGATAACCATATACAGGAACATAATGCACTGTGTTATTTTTGTTACATTCATATTCTTGATAAAGTTGCAAAGAAACACTGTATAATTTATAAGTCAGAAAGACATTATTAAAACATAATTAATACAATCATGTATTTGTTCAAAATCAAACACCACTGATCAAATGCCAAAGGATAAATAAAAGGAATGATACATTTCCTAATTTAAACACCAATTCAGTAGCGTTGATAGGCTATGTGTAAAGTCTTTATACATGTTTCTTAATATGACACAACTTTACAAACTTTGCCAAGGATAATGAAAGTAACATACCGATTTGAGTTGGCTTTCCTTGGTGGCTAGTTCAGACTCTAACTTATCATTCAGATCATGAAGTGAAGTTGATTCCCGCTGAGCATTTAAGTAACGTTTCTCTAAGGTGGCTATCCTTTCCTCCTGATCCTCCCTCTGAGCCAGGGACTGTAAACAAAAACTCGGCAACTTAAACAATTAATTTAAGACAATTATATCCAAAATCTGCTGTGAATTTTCAAGAGCTTCCAAAGTTGCCTAAACCTGGGGAAGGTTGTATAACTTTCCTTACCTTTGTGTAGTTTAATTTGTTAATGCTTACTTGTAAATATACAAGATCAACATTATGTACAATATTCTTTTGCAAAGTCTTACGTAATTTAACCCTACGATTTAACAAATGACCCTGGACTAGTTACCTCTCTGAGGTCTCGCTGTAACTTGACTAATTGTTCCTGAGCTTTGTTCAGATCTTTGGTGGCAGTTGTGGATGTCTCCTCGAGCTCTGTGATTTTATTGGTTAATTCTAATAATCGAGTCCTTGTTGATGTTAACTCGGAGTTCTGTTTCTCCACTGTGTCCTGAAGTTCAATGACTCTGTTAACCTCTGAGTCAGGGTCAATAGAGCCATTCGATAGCCTTTGCTGGAAAACAGAATATTAAACAGATGCAATGTATATTCTTGTAAAATAATCCATAATGTCATTACCTTAATCACTTAAAGTTGGCAAAGAACTCTGATAAATTACAGACAATAATGAATTTTATTAATGAGTTTGAAAGACTGAAAACCTGGAACGTTGTGAACATTATACGACGCACAAACAACACAGGCAACCTTATATCTAGAGCAGAACTAAATTATTTCTGTGCAACACTTAAACCCTTTCAAACTAGGATTGTGTGTCTCTTGTTCTAGGGGTTCTGACTTACAATTTACCATAACATTACATCTGGTTTCTGATTGTTAGTTTCTCAAGTTTCTGTCAAATACTCTGTTTTAAACCTATAAGACTCATGCATTTCTGATTTTAAATGGTCTGTGTGTTGAGGTCCTGTTTAAAAGTAAGGGTTTAAACCCACTTTGCCTTGTTTATATGTTTTGAAAATAACTGTCTACCGAAAATCTCTTTGCATTTTTGGGTTTTGACCCACCTTGACATGTATATCTGGTATTGGATAAGTGTATCCTAAGATTTGGGGTTTAGACCCAGCTTGACATGCATTTCTGGTTTTGGATGACTGTATCCTAAGATTAAAGGTTCAGACCTACCTTGACATGTATATCTGGTTTTGGATAACTGTATCCTAAGATTTGTGGTTTAGATCCACCTTCACACTGGATAATTGTATCCTAAGATTTGGGGTTTTGACCAACCTTGACATGTATATCTGGTTTCGGATATAGTACCCACCTTGACATGTATATCTGGTTTTGGATACAGTACCTACCTTGACATGTATATCTGGTTTTGGATAGAGTGCCCACATTGACATGTATATCTGGTTTTGGATACAGTACCTACCTTGACATGTATACTTGGTTTTGGATAATTGTATCCTAAGATTTGGGGTTTTGACCTACCTTGACATGTATATCTGGTTTCGGATATAGTACTCACCTTGACATGTATATCTGGTTTCGGATACAATACCCACCTTGACATGTATATCTGGTTTTGGATACAGTACCTACCTTGACATGTATATCTGGTTTTAGATACAGTACCCATGTATATCTGGTTTTGGATACAGTACCCACCTTGACATGTATATCTGGTTTTGGATACAGTACCCACTTTGACATGTACGAGGAGTGATCAAAAAGTGCGCGAACTATTTCTATATTTACAAAACCACAATTCAGATCAGAATGAAATTTGGCACACATATAGTCATACACGTGTTCTATAAATAACAGATGTTAAATAATGTTTTGCTCCGTGTTTGTGACGTCACAATGTGAAAATGACGTCAATATGTAGGTCACTTGTGACAAAAAATTGTTGACTCATTCGTACTCAAGCAACGAACAGCTGTAAAGTTTATCTTATATCTTGGAAATTCCTTTGCAGTAGAATATGATAATTTGTACAAGGTTAATGAAGACAAAAGACTTACCATAAGTTCAGTCATCAATTGGATTGATTGTTTAAGTGAAGACAGGGAGATGGTTAAAAATGATGTTTGTTCTGTTGCCCAGCGAAAGCAAGCCAGTGAAAAGATGTGTCCTTAGTTGGGCAATTTGTTGTGAAACATCGTCAAGTTACAATTAGAATAATGGTTGAATATCATAACAATAATATAATTATTATATCCCTAAAATATCGTTTACTTTAGACTTTTAACATATGAGATATGATAAAAAGAAGGCGCCCAGACTTAATCCACATTGGATAAACGACGCTCCTGAGACAGAGGACTCGGGTTGTGATGGGTCACCATACTAATTGTGGGAAGGGATATCCTTATCCACCCATCCTATTGCCGAGATTTGGCAATCTCTGACAGATGAACTGTTCTTGTTATAAAAAATAGCTTGCATGGTAAGAAATAAAAGACTCGGAAAAATCTTTTAGCTTCTCTGAACAAACTGCTACGGAGCATGTCACGTGACTGTCTGGATCATGTGATTTGCGCAAGGGCAGAACAATGGCAGATGTGTATTAAAATCGTTGAAGACTACTTTAAAAAATAATAAACACTGAAACCTCATTTTATTTCTTTTAAGGAAGTAATTCAATTAGTTCGCGAACTTTTTGATCACCCCTCATATATCTGGTTTTGGATACAGTACTCACCTTGACATGTATATCTAGTTTTGGATAACTGTATCCTAAGATTTGTGGTTTAGACCCACCTTCACACTGGATAATTGTATCCTAAGATTTGGGGTTTTGACCTACCTTGACATGTATATCTGGTTTTGGATACAGTACCCACCTTGACATGTACATCTGGTTTTGGATACAGTACCCACCTTGACATGTATATCTGGTTTTGGATACAGTACCTACCTTGACATGTATATCTGGTTTTGGATGGTCTGTCTCCTGAGTTCCTGTTTCATGCTTTAAGGGTTTTAGACTGTCCTCTGTACTGCCACTGGAATGTCGAGATTTACTCTGCTGTTCTCGTAATGTGAATAACTGCAACAAATAAATAAAGTACTTAATGTACAGTTTATCATAATTATCAAATATGTATTAAAACCATTTACATGAAGTTATGGCAAAATATTGAGTTGGACAGATAATTATTACATAAGCTCTGTGTTTAGAAAACCTTTTAAGAACTCCAATAACAAATTGGTATATGCAACATCAAAACAACTATATGAAAAAATCAAATAAATGCATTTATCTTATCTAGATAGTAAAAGAAATATTTGCAATCATTTATCTATAATCATTTATTTTAAATGCTTCTAACCAGAATGTTACCTCCATTAAAATTTGCTATTTTCCATTAAAATCTTGTTTGCTAGATTTAGCATGCTACAGGTAAATTTTACATTCTATAATATATGTAAGCTTGGAATGAAGTCTTATACACAACACAGGCAGCATAAAAGCTCTTCCTAGTAAATGATCAGCTGTCTGTGTGCATGTTTCTAATGAAGCTACTTAACTTCTGATAAAAATAATTAACCATTAAAAAAAAACAATTAACTAGTGAGTACTACACAGGTAATTATTGTCAATATAACACACCTCTTGATTAGCATTTGTTAACTCTTCTTCTAATGAGGCCACTTTTTCTAATGCAACTCGAAGACGTTCTCGGACCTAGAATAAAGAATAATACATGGAATTTAGCAAAAAAGTAAATTAAGCATAATCAGTCATCAAAATAGCATACATCTGCTTCTGAATTATATTCTTCATAAATTTATTTGATGAATTCAAAATAAGAGTATGGAAAAAAAAATTTAAAATAAATAATCAATTTTTCCATTCAAGATACATAGACCATTCACGAAAAAAAAATTAAATAAATAAAAAAGAACTTTTTATGATAATATGCTGTCTTTCATTTTGAACATGAAATATACTTTGAATGAAATAAAGTCTTACTATTCAAAACATGTACTTTACTATGTTTTCCTCAATATATACTTTCCTCTCTTACAGTGTAACAGATGGTGGTATTCAGCAGAATGCTAAATATCATTACATCATATTTGTGAGAAAAAACACATTGACTTTAATTATTTGCTCAAAGCACTCTTGATAAGAGAAAAGCAAGGACAAATATTCATATCAGAATCAGAGAGACTTAGCCACAAGAATCAATTTTTCGGAGGGTTGTTGTCTCTTCTGTGCTGTCTGTATATCACAATACAGGGCTTATAATCAGGAAAAGGTCCAATTAAGGAAGCAGAAATCGGCCTGGGTCAATGGCGCAATCATTGATTTTCTCAGTTATTTAATACAGACTAGTGCTCCCCCTAGGTGCCACTCCAGTCTTTTTTTCTGGGTCTGCGGGATTAGGATGCTGATAATATTGTTTCATTACAGCTTGCCAATATTTTATCAAATAATTGATAGATAACAGCATTTATGCTTTACCATTTTTCTTTTATGCATATTACGTAATCTTTGGGGTTCAACAATTACCAAGAACATAGAGATAACAGAAAATTATTTTCCCCTTTTACCATGTAAAAGAGAAATCAATTTCTGTATCAGATATAAAGAATTGTACACACAGTTACAATTTGTCACAGGCCTAATCAGCCATAAGAGTTTCTGATTTTTTTCGTTATATACATAATATATTTCAATATCTCAAAAACTGAAAATCAGATCAGCTTAAAAAAAATTCAAACCTGAAATATATGTAAAAATCTACTGTAGAAATTATTAGGCCTTGTATAAGGTGTTTATATTGATATCATAGTGAACAATTTCTACCATTTTAGGACAATGAAAGCCCAGACTGGTCTTCATGATAAACGATGGCAGAGACGGAAATTAATCAATGGAGCTGTTTATAAAATGAACAGACTAAGGTGGTTATCTGGAATCATGGGTGAATTTGACCCACACTCAGTATACATGTAACCAAATGCATTTTCATAGATCCATTTAGGGAAATGTTACTGTAAGATATGCAGCTTTGAAACAATCCTTGCATATAATTCAGATAACATAAGTCTCATTTTCATTTACTGTAGAAGTACCTTTTTCCATGTGGTATTAATTTATGCTATGTACCCAGTCACAAATTTTCCGTGGAAATTTTCCCAGCATACTACCGGTAATAGAACATTAAGGCATTTAGTGGTAATCTAAGAAATCCACATAATTTTCTACCCATGGATTGAACAGAAATTGTGATTTGGTGGAATTATGACTCTGTGGAAAAAAGTATGTTTACAGACTTCATATATCATGTTTAATTCAGATTTTATGTCAAGTCATATTTAAAACTTGGGCATTTACACTTTGTCTTCGATGTTTTCTTTTTTTTTTTGTGAGTAAACTCATCCCATCAGTACTATCAAAGAAGTACAGTGAAGAAAACCTAAACATGGTCTGAATGATTAAGAAAACAATGGAATGGGACTCTCTGTTTTCAACTTTTCATCCACATGAGATCTTCTACAAATCAAGGCCATAGGCCTATATGTCACTTAAAAGTGTTTCTATACTTATAAACATCAGATGCAGTAACACGTCTCCTATCCTGGAAAACCTTCAGTGATGATTTGTCCAGCATAATAAAAGTCAAGTTTTAAATCTAATACCATGTTAGCTATTAGGTAGTATTGAAGATATTAGAAAAAAATATCTTAGATGATAAATGTCATCTAAATTTAAAGTCAAGTAAATCTACATCTTGAATATTTTTTCTTTTTTTCTCTTCTAATATAAGGCTTAAAGTTATTCAGGAACGGACCTCTCCAAAAAATGTTATCCCATCACTCATTTGGCAAATACAGGTTAAAAAATACAGTCTCCAAAGCAAAATACTCCTACACTATCATTTATGTTAGTTTTATTCAGTAATAAATTATTAAGAATGAACCAATTTAAATAAATTATACCCAGCTAATCACCCAGAAATGAACAGTCAAACAATGTTCCAAGCACAACAGGGAATATACATTTGAAAATGAAACTTTCATGAATTTAAGCTCAGTCATTAATATAGGGACATACATGTAGATACTGCTCAATGGACACTCTCAAAAACTTTTTTAATTTGATTTAAGAACTATGAAATATATTGAACATGGCTGCCATGGCAACTTTATCCGCGGTCTGGTGCTGTGCACAAATTGCAAAATAATCTAAATTTCCATCAAACGTTTTCTGGTGTTTCAAGATTTTTTCCCCCTTCTTTAAAGTATCTTATGGATTTCAGAGAATTAATGTCATTTTAGAAAGGCTCAAGTTCCCTTTTTTTGGTTGTTTTTTTTGTTAATGGATTTGAGGTGTTCTATCCTCTATAAGAAATAAATGTACATTTTCATTTGGAGTTTTTGTGGTGTTTTGTCCTTTATGAGAAAAATAAAAGTACCTTTTCATCCAGAGCTTTGTGGTGTTCAAACAGAGACTTGAGGGCTTTCAGCACCTCCACTTCACTGGACACTCCAGCTGGGGACGAGGCCTGACGCTTGACCACAGTCATCCGGAGTGATCTCTCATGCCTGGATACCAAACACTCAAGATGTTCCAGTAACAACTACAAACAGAAACACTACAATGCAGAGCAATCAAAATGCATACATCACATACATACATTGCGTTTTTTAGTCACAACTACATGTAAATCAGAAAGCAAAACATTCTATAACAAATTTAGCAAAGGAGTTGAATATAGGATTTTTACCAATGTATATCTGATTGTCACTGTGCATTGCACTGTTCAAATAAAGCTTGTGCTTCATGTGGGTGGGGAGTCACAGGGAATGGGAGGGGGGCTGGCAATACAATCTTCTTTGTATTTAAATATAGATTTTGGCACAAATAACAATACCACTTATATTCTATGATATCTAAGTAGTCCTTAAGGATATATCTCTAATTTTATGTTTCTTTAACTAATCAGAATGCATTTTTGTGAGATAAGAATGATTGTACAGGTCTGTACTGATTCTAAAAGCTAAAAATTTATTTTTCAATACAATATTATCTAAAATCATTTTTTTTTTTTTTACTGTCCTTGACTTTGGACATTGGTCAAAATCTTCATTAGCTAGAAAATCATCTTGAACCACATTTGTTTCCTAAAACATGATGTGTTCTTATGCTAAGGAATGTGTTCTTATGCTAAGGAACCCATTCAACATTTGCGAAAGTGTCTTTACAATATACACTGATAAAAAGTACATCTGAATCAGTAGGCAAATGTAACAAGCAAGGATATATAGTTATAAATTATATGATGATAGATAAAAAACACACATGTATAATTGTAAATACAATCACTCAGTATTAATGCAAGAATAAAACAATCCACAGGTAAAATCCCAGACAAGCACACTTACAGTAAACCTGTCTTTTATACTATCAATAATTTTGTAATAGCTCCTATTCATTGACTTTTCTTATTTTCACTCCACAGTTCTGAGTCTGAAGTCATGGTCAAATGGTGCAGTGCTGGGCGACCATCTTGGAGATCCCTGAACAGCCCATGGGGTTCATGGAATTCCCAGGCACAGTTCCCGGATCAGAGAATCACATTCAAATAAAACAAGACTTCTGATGCAAATCAATCCATTTAAGCTACAACTCCTTACACACACAAATGTCTGTCAATTGCCTGTAATGATGCGAGGCAGACATCTGTTCTAATATTGAGTCCATCTTTGGACTAAAGTCTCGTAACATTAGGCAAATTCAAATACCACATGCCATCAAATGCTAGGCTGCAATTTATAAAAGTACTTTTCATTTGAAAACTTCATTTTCCCCTGCCTTTCTTGGGCTTCTATGAATTGATCTACATACTATGTTACAAGAAAATTAGGCAAATACGATATATAGAGATCTTTCAGAATTAAATTACTGGCATGGTTTACATAAGTAAATATGATTTAGCTAAAAAAAAATATGCTTTCAGATTATCACAATTATATATAAGATTATTACATAATTCATTATATGACTCATCAAATAGTTTGTATAAAGCGAGCGTACAATTCTGTAACATTGATCAGACAAGAAAAAAAAATGTGGTTACATCATGTTTTAAATATGAAGCATCAGATTATTGAATAGAAAGCCTTCAGATCAAGAAATGATCTTAAATATTCAGTATGTCAAAAGCACACCATCTTCTTGGCATTTGTACATTACATCATCTGAACTCTCTCAAGAAAACGGCTATGCATGACAATAAAACATAACCGTCTTCCCTACAGATGATCTCCCAACTTGAAAAAAATCCATATTAGAAAATATAATACATCTCTCCAGCACACTTCTTCACAGACCAACATATTGATCTTAAAACTTGGGAATCTCTTAGTGTAAAAGCTATGTTTCTGCAGATGCTATCATATGTTCAGTTTGAATTCATCTTTCCCCAACTCTGAAAGGGTTTCTGGATAATTCATAAGATTGTGAAAAAAACAACCTTTGACCTTGACTGTAGGGTTTAACCTGTTTTATTGTAATCATTGATTACTGCACACTTTGTATTTGACATGTTGAATCTTTATTAAGTTATACAGATGATTCTATGTTCAGAGGGGAAAAAACTGCCACTAAGTAAACAAGTCTAATTAAGCATTGATTGATATTTGAAATGATTTCATCCTGTAACTTTATACAATGATTTTTTTTTTCCTGGTTAGTGAACACTTGTAAATATGGAATTTTTGTACTAAACATGCTAAATATTCATGCATTGATAAAAAAAATGTTTTAATATCAAAAACAATTTATTAACCTGAGTCCATTACTTTTATAATGATATGCTGTTTCATATATTCCTGCATCCCAGTTTTTATACATCCCCCATCCAACTTTTAACTCACTAAAGATGTATTTGAATTAAAAAATTACCAACAAAATAAAGAACATAAGACCTTCTTGCTGCACCTAACTTGTGAAAAATGTGGCCATATGTTTTACTGAGAAGATAATTAATAGTTAAAAACATTGCAACACCTGTTTCTGCTCCAGTAACATCAATTTCTCTTAAATTACACCAAACTTACAACACATTGCTTAGCATATTTATGTATAAAAGAGATATATTTGTACAGTTAAAAACTAATAAACTAACTAGTCAACATTATTATTAGTTAAAGTTTATCATCTTTGAGAGAGTTAACAGGATTCCACTTCCCCGGGGCCAGGACTATTTCCTGAGGTGAAGCCGAGGAAAATGGTCCTTACTTTTTAATTGTTTTGGTTATACCAATACAAATGTAAAATCTTGAGGATAACAGATAACAGGAATTAGCTTTCAAAGCAGGGATTAGCTTATTTGACTAATGCATGACAAACTGATACAAAAGTAAAATCCAGAGTATTATAGAAAAAACACCTAAATAACCATATACATGGGCGCAGACATTTTGGACACCTGAAGTTGTGTGGAGAAGAAAATGCTACAGGGCACATGATTGGTCATTAATAGAAAAGACTTATGTATCTGACAAGTGAAATAAAGGTGATAAAATTCTCATATGAAGACTTAGGCTTCTTTGAGATATATAGGAGTTGAAGGTAAAAATTTGAAGGGAGGGATGCACTTTGGTTAGAGATTTTCACTTGGTGTTTAACACACCTAGTTGTAAACAAATGGAATTTGAAAGTAAAAGTGCTGTGGCACAGTATATTTTTTCTGGCATGTTTTGTTTTGCAATATCTTGAACTTTCACTGCAAGAAAGTCATTTGCCAAAAATTCAATATATGAATCAGTGACAGGGGTTCAACTTTGAATGGACGTCTATGGGAAAACATTTGGTGGTGTTTGTTCATTATGGATTACCCTGAATTAGCTCAATTGACTAAGGCATGGCAAAAGGGGATTAGTTCTTCAATTAGCTAACCCACTGAAAATCATTATTAAAATATTAATTGATGTTTTCATTACAATGTATACATGGCACAGCTAGACAGATTTAATATTTATTGCTGTAAAAATTGTCAATCTAAAGAGCATCTTTAAGAAATTTTATAATAAATCTTAACTTTAAAAATGATAATGACAATCTGTGATTCCCTGGAACCCCCCCCCCCAAATAAAAATAAATGGCTCATGCAAATTTTGTTGTTCATGCAAATCATGCAGTTTCATAAAACTGAATGTTTCAGAACCTAAATAACAGGGATTTTTTTAGGGTCTCTCTGGGGCCGAAATTCGGCCCCATTCCCAATGCTGAAAAGTGCATGTTTTTCCCAAAATCATACCTAAAAATTCCCAATATGAAAAAAGTATTAAGTTGTAAATTATTAAAATAAAATAATGACAAGAAGGTGTTTATGTTCTCTATGTGCGATGTACGAGCCATCCGAGGGCTTCCGAGAAGTTATTCAGAATACTACGGATGTTTGCCTGCATACTTTTTAAAGTGGGATCGATGTTTAAAAATTAAAGTCGGGATCGTTATCTAAAAAATAAACGTGCATCATGTCAGTCTCTCCAGTTTGCCTAAGACGGTAATTTTCAGGCTGGGTTGAATCGCTCTTATTCTTATAAATTGGTCAAACAATACCGATTAACCACTCATCTGGAACAAACCCACTATCAAATGTTATTTTAAAGAACTTCTTACATAAAGGTAAAAAAGATGACAATGTATAAATATGTTCATTTACGATGTTATCATACACTGCGGCTTTGCCATTTTTAAGCTTCTGAACTTCAACAGCCGCTATTATTTCATATCACTAAAGTTGGTTTAAGCCAGCTTTATACTATAAAAAATAAGAAAAATGATTAAATATTTGACTTTTGCTTGTTTTTTCCTATTTATTTGTATGAAGATATTTTTCCCAATTTAACCAAATATCGCTGTTTTTCCCAATCTTGACGGCCCCGGCCACTGGAATCAAAGGGTAAAAAAATCCCTGAATAAACTACTTTTATGGACAAAAATATAATTACTGTCTGGCCCAAGATAAAAAACATTGCCACACACTTTAATCCTTAATGTACGTGTGCGCAGAAAACATGAACAAGTTACCATGGTCTTAGGTCTCACAAGCGAAATGTTGGTAGACCAAGAATATGACACATATTAAAACCTTTGCATTCTCTAATGAAATGTTGTTTATAAGTTTTATGCAAAAAATAAAGTCATGTGACATTGATATGGGCTATGACAATAACTTGAGAGATAAAACCTTTGTTTTTCTGGCACTTATTTGTTGCACGCTTTGTTTACTATACAGTGCAGCTGAGCTTGTCAAAACTTTGCTCTACTCATAATTTTGATAAATCTTTCAATTCATGATACATACACATGCATCATAGAAACAAAAAAAAAAATCAACCTATTTTGACTCATTATATTTCTTTAAACTGCTCAATCAAATGAGATGGGATATGTCCAAGTGAGTGTATCATTTGAATTTGAATTAATACTAAATTGTATATTGGATGTTGAAAGTTTCTTCTCAATACTGTCGAGTTCAAAATACCCATATTTATCTATATACATTTCTAAAACTACTGGTTTAAGTATCATTGTTTTATTGTATGATATTTATCAAGGACTTACTAGCCATTCTTTAGAGATTTACTATCAAATTATCCTACCTATGTTACAATGACAACAGCACAATAATGATTAACAAATTATTTATCACTCACAGATCTTTAAGATGAAATACTGACTCCTTTTAGGACACTTATGTGTATTGACCTTGGTCAAACTTTTTTAATGATTTACAGATTCAATATTTACTTTAACTGCTGTCTGAATATACAGTATCCAACAATCTAATTCGTCTTCAAACCATTAAACTTTATCTTCAAAATAGTTCAGACAAATTTCATTCTAAGACATCCCTAGATCTATATAGCTATACAGATTCCCTAGAAAAAAAGCCCTTTTAATAACAATACTGATAAGCAAAAGTGCAGGGCATTTTAGAACTAAAATATAAAGGTACAATGCTTTAAACTATCAGCAGAGTAATAAGCATATACAACTAAAATTGTTATAGTAAATCATTCATAATGTTATCCATTGGAGAAATAACTAGAAATATGTCCATAGGACATGAATGCCCCGCCGAGGGTATATCAGTAATGCAACATTTTAACACAAATTGAGAAAAGTTAGGTCAAGGTCAAAGGAAAGGAAGGTAAAAAATTGTTTATGCAGTTGAAAAGGTTAAATCAGTATGTATTAGCATATGAAGTTTGATAAAAATATTATGAATGGTTTTTTTAAAACTGGGCTAAACACTAATTTAAGAAAAGTGAGGTCAAGGTCAAAGGAAAGGTCAAGGTAAAAAAATATTGATGCAGTTGAATAGCTCTCATCAGTATGTATCAGCATATGAAGTTAAATAATACTATCTTGAATAGTATCTTTAAAACTGAGCTAAAAACTTATTTAAGAAAAGTGAGGTCAAGGTCCAAGGAAAGGTCAAGGTAAAAAATATTGATGCAGTTGAATAGCTCTCATCAGTATGTATCAGCATGTGAAGTTTGTTAAAAATATCTTAAATGGTTTCATTAAAACTGAGCTAAACACTAATTTAAGAAAAGTGAGGTCAAGGTCAAAAGAAAGGTCAAGGTCAAAAAATATTGATGCAGTTGAATAATTTACATCAGTATGTATCAACATATGAAGTTTGATTACACTATCTTGAATGGTATCTTTAAAACTGAGCTAAACACTAATTTAAGAAAAGTGAGGTCAAGGTCAAAAGAAAGGTCAAGGTCAAAAAATGTTGATGCAGTTGAATAGCTTACATCAGTATGTATCAACATATGAAGTTTGATTACACTTTCTTGAATGGTATCTTTAAAACTGAGCTAAACACTAATTTAAGAAAAGTGAGGTCAAGGTCAAAGGAAAGGTCAAGGTCAAAAAATGTTGATGCAGTTGCATAGCTCTCATCAATATCTATCAGCATATGAAGTTTGATAAAAATATCTTAGATAGTTTCTTTGAAACTGAGCTTTGAACAGGGCTAAACGCAAAGTGTGACGGAAGGACAGAAGGACAGAAGGAAGGAAGGACGAAAGACGGACATGACAAACACTATATGCCCCGGCCATATTCATGGCGGGGCATAATAAATGCTGTTACATAGTTACAACATACTGTACTATTGCCTTTATTGAGTTTTTAAGCATTGTATGTGTTATATATAATTTAGAAGTAAGACACCACAGTATGATTTTGTTGTTTGCACAGTCCTTTTTTGATGAGGCACTGAGGGAGGGGTGGGGTGGGGGTGGGGGGATGGGTCATTCACAACAGCACGACAACACTTTACCTACCCTGGTGTTATTTCTCTCTGCCTTCAGTTCAGCTACTTCTTCTTCTCTCTCTAACAGCTGGTCTCGAAGCTGGTTGACCTCTTTTGACAAACTGGCAAATTCCTGCTGTAAAAAAGTGAAAAATTCAACTGAAGCATTTTAACTATGTCTCAGTTTGAGTTTTATCCAATAATGTAACTCATCATTGTTTTAAAAAGTTATTATACTGAAAGTAGTTCATTTTTACTGAGTTTGAATTATATTACGCTGTATAATGGACGTATGCTGACATAATATCAGTTTTTTCAGTACACAGTAAGGCAAAAAAAGTCGGTATCATTTTAAAATTTGAATTATGTCACTTTTTTTTAACACAAACATCTAGTTTGAAAGCAACATCCATTGTTCCTTTCCAAAAATATAGAAAGAAAAATTCATAATTTAGCTCAAGTATCAAATTATTTTTTTCTTAATAGTGTATTTCACTACTGAGTACTATCTGAATTCCCTTTTTAAAATACCTCATTCACAAATTCTGTGTCATTAAATAATGTGAATGACTGATATCATTTACCTATAAAGGTTACACTGTACCTGAATTTAAAGTGCTAAACTAAACACACTAAAATACTTGTGTCAGACATATCTTTCTTGAATAGAAGTCAGAATTCTTAAAATAGAATACTAGGATTGGCTGTGTACACAAAGCTTTTATGGTACTATATTTTCTGAACATTGTTTGTTTTTGTATACCGGTGGTCATTTAAAAACCACAACACACAGATGACATAACTGACTATCAGTACATCCCGAGGCTGCTTAATGTATTTAAAATGGCGTCTGATTTATTCGGAATCCCCAACCGATGATGTCAGTGTTGGCTGCATCATAAAATAGGCAAACCCCCTGACCTCAGGGGACAAATACCTGAGGTGTAGTGGTCTGAAATTGCCCCTGTAAAGCGTCTCGTTCTTTCTCCACATCGGCGAGTTTTTGCTGGGTTAACGTTAACGTGTCCTGAGTCTCGCGAAGTGTTTCCATCAATTTATCTCTTTCATCCAGCATGTTCACCATCAACTGCTCGAAGTTAGCCTCATCTTGCGAACTCTGAGACTCCCGGTCATTCGAACCGGACTCAGAAATCGTAGGCATCACGTCGCACATCATATTGATGATTTTACATTAGTCATCGGCGACATGAACCCAAAAACAACATTGTTTATGATAGCATCCCGTGTAAAATGCCGGTAATACTTCATTAATCTCGAGATTCACATAAAATTTGATCACTTTTCTTATCTAGGATGAAATACGCATACTTCCGTTTAAATCTGTTCACTGAAAACTTATCAAAGTCCTTCATATCAAAAGCATTTGAGTTTCCTATCAGCATCATTTACATGAAAGGGTGCCATCTTTCTTTCAGTCGAAGTGTGTCATTACCCACAATTCCTTTGCAAAAAATCCAAGAGAAGTAACTCAACTTTTTTTAACGTTTTGTTTCGTTTTGTTTTCCCAGTTGTCGATCTTTGTACATCAAATTCCGTCATACCAAGAAATGAAAGAATGATCAAAATGCTCAATTTATTTAATTTAAATTAGATAAGATGATTCTTTTTTCCTTTTTAGTGTCAAAAGTATGGAGAGAGAGAGAGAGAGAGAGAGAAGTATTTTGTACAAGGACTGTTCCTGTTATTCTCCGTAGTAATTATATACTATAAGAAATTGAAATAATTATACCAAGGATGCCTCCTGGATGGGAAAGGAGGGTATCTGAGTTTGAATTAAAAAAAAAATCATATAACGATGAACTCAATATATACATAAAAACTATGGGGTAGTGATACTTTGTCTTATGATAGGAACTGCTTTATTTTTTCAGCTGTTCGTAAATTCATTAATGAATCTGGAAGATTTGATTAACATTTCAATTTATTAATGCCACTTGCCAATATTATTTACAATGTTATTATTGTGACAATTGTACTCACGATATTAATTAACTTTACTAACACCAGGAGAAGAACTTGTAAGTTGTAAGAACTTGTTTCTGATACTTTTGTGTTAAATTTACAATAAAATATGTTCAAATCATACATAAAAACCTATCCACTTTTTTATGAAGCTCTTCCCCCTCCTCCAAAATCAATCAATCAATCAATCAATCAATCAATAAAGCTAGATGCTGTCATAAGACAGCAATATCCGCACTTTGGTGTTTGCGGCTCTAAACGTACTCACCATCATACTCTGGTAACAAGGGAAGAAGCCATAAAATAATTCTATAATTTACAAAATGTCAGTTTTCAACCCCCAATCACCCCTAGAAAGAAAATTGAAATTCTGAAAACTAAATGTACATCTATAGGGCATACCCAGACTTCTTCCAAAATATGACTGAGCTACTTTGAAAAATGTAAGAAAATTTCAGGAACTAGACATTTTTGTTTGAAAAAAAATTTTGACCCCCATTTGGCCCACAGTGAAAATCAAAATTCTGAAATGTTATTGCACATCTACAGGACACTCCCAGTCATATTCCCAAAAAAGGAGTTGGTTACAGCAAAAAATGTAATAAAAGTTCAGGGAACCAGATTATTTAGAGAAAACTATCTCCCAGTCTTCCCCCAGGGTGAAAATCCAAACTCAAAAACCCTAATGCACATCTATAAGACACTCCTAATCAGATTCCAAATTAAACTATTTCGAAAAATATAAGAGGAATTCAGGGAACCATTTTTTAAACGATGCATCTTAACACAATCGATGCCCTTAGGGTGAAAATCGGAATTTAGAAACCTTAATGCACATGTATAGAAGACCACCAATCACATTCCAAAAAGATGAGTTGGCTTCTGCAAAAGTAAATAAATAAATAAAACGTAAAATAAATAAATAAATAAAATAAAAGTGAAATGACTTCAGGGAACACGGTTTTTGTAGTAATTTTTTTTTTTAAATCCCCAATCGTTGCCCCCCCCCCCCAAGTGAAAATCAGAATTCCAAAAGCCTTACTGCACTTCTAGGGCACTCCCAATCACGTTCCAAAATGTGAATGGGCTAGTACTGCAAAAAATGTGAGAGGAGTTCCGGAAACTAGATTGCACATTTACAAGACACCAAAAGATGAGTTGGTGACTGCAAAAATGTACTTGAGGGAACAAGTTTTTTGCCCCCCCCCCAAAAAAAAGTTCAAATAAAGTTTTTTTTTAACCCTCAGTCGTCCCCCAAGGTGATAATCGAAATTCCAAAATCTTATTGCACATCTACAGGATACTCCTATTCACGTTCCAAAATATGACTTGGCTACTGTGAAAAATGTAAGAGGAATTCAGGAAACCAAGTTTTTGTAGAAAAACATTGGTTTTCTTTTATCCCCGTTTGGCCCCCAGGTGAAAATAAAAATTTTCATATTCTTTTGGCGTTCAAGGCACCATCAATCAGAGTTAGCAACTCCTTTAAATGTAAGAGGTAGTCCGAGAGGAAGAAAGTGTGACAGACGGAGCTGGATAATAACAACATACTCGAACTTTCATTAAAAAGTGTGGGTATAATAGCTAAATAAATAAATATTATGATATTATGGACAGGGGCAAATTTGTGAAGATAAAGTTTTAAATTAAACTCATGACTGTACTGTAATTTGGTATTTTTATTCGAGTAATAAAATGATTGGAATTTATGGACGTAATTTAAAGGACATAAAATAAAAAGTCCAACTTAAAGCTTTAATAAAACAATTTCTGATTGATGCAACTTGTCATCAGTGTAACAACCTCAAAAGATTTACATTGCAATTTCATTAGCAAGCAATGCTACGGGATAATTCAAGGACCCCCCTTTTTTCAGAAAGTGAATTACCCCTATGGCCTTTGAAAAAAGTAAAAAAAAAAAATCCAAAGTGGACCAAAAAGGAACACATTATGTTACAAAAAGTGAGGTGTCCTGCCCACTCCCGATCTTGTGGCTTGATGTGTCCCCTTCCTTTTCAGGAATGAAGCCTGGTTCTGCCCCTACAACAATGAACAAATAATGGTTTTGCTGTTCTTGAGAAGATTTTTAAAGATATTTCCCATACATTCCTATGTAAAACTTTTATCCTCTGTGGTGGCCCTGCCTTATCCCCAGGGGTCATGATTTGAACAAAATTTGAATCTACAGTATGCAATGAAACTTTCACATAAGTCTCATATTTTCTGACTCAGTGGTTCTTTAAAATATGACATTAATTTTTCATGAATTCTTAATTATCTCTCCTTGAAATGCCACGCGGAATTTTCTGTTAACAATTTTGAATTCTCTTCATCCAATGATCCTTTGTGGCAAGTTTGGTTGAAGTTGGCCAAGTGGTTTTGGAGAAGATGAAATTGTATTAAAAAACATTTACAACGACAACGACAGACAACGGACAAATGCTCAATTGAGCTTTCGGCTCAGGTGAGCTAAAAGGGGGGATATCAGCACCGCTCCTGATTTCATGAACACGAAACGCAACTTTACATTCAGCTAGCTCTGGCTAGCTAGCTCTGGTTTCCGTAGTATCAAAACGAAACCGGAAGAACAATTTAGGTTACATTGATTATGCTTGTACATGTATTTTAATCATGAGTGCTATCAAACTTGTAGCTTTATTGACCGGAAGTCTTGGATTTGTCTGGATATTTAGGAAAGTCCGAAGCAGACAAGGTATAACAACAGAATCTGCATTCAAAACAGCTGACAAGCTTACTGTACACCCAGAAGAAGAAAAAAGCACCGTTCTCTTTCCCCAGCCTCTTCCCGAAAGCGACCTGGAAACAGACACGTGTCCAGTGATGGCTAGTCTGGAGATGCCAAAGGAGTTACCGCTAGATGGAGTTGTTCTTCACGTGGATGATGAAGATGATCGATGTAAAGCAAAAAAGTTTTGCGACTTTGTCAGCACCATTTCAGACTACAGAGTGGGACTGTATGACGAGATAGGGATGGGGGAGACATTACTGCGGATTCCGGGTGAAGTGGTTTTTAGTAAGACGATATACTTATTTGTTCTTGTTACACCATTGCTGAATCAAGATAATCTGACACGAATGTTAACTGAACTAGGCATTATTAAATGTCTAGAATTAAACCAATTCCGAGTGATACCAATTCTGACAAACAGACACGCAAACAAAAACAAGCCAAGTGAATTGAAAGCATTGAAAGGTGTCCAGTGTTTCTGGCTAGACTCGGGTTCATCAGGAGGAGACGATAAACAGAGAAGTAAAGGTTGTTTAGACCGCTTGTTTCAAGAGGGGAGACGTAGATTCTGCAGAAGTCGATCGCAACTCCTTGATGACTAACTGTCAATACCAACCACCAGGCTGAAATAGAATTAGTCGCATAACTTAAGTTGCGTAAAAAAGGTACTAACCTAAGAAGTGCCGCAACCAACGTCAACCAGGCTGAAGTACTAGTAATGCCATCTTTGGTGACCAGACTCTGTCGCAGATCAGAAGTGTAAAATTGTCCATCTAGAAGTACGGCGCTAACCTGAAAAATGATACAACCTAGGTAAACCAGAGACTTATAACAATTCAAGATGTATGCTTTGGAATCCTGCGCAGAACCAGAGAATCGTGCAACATTTGTGATGTACTACAGCAACACCATCATAATGGTCAACACTCCAAAACAGCAATGGTATCATGTCAGTGTAAAAAAAATACAAACAGTTTACCATTCGGAAAGGTGGTGAAAAATGAGTTGTGGAAGGTTTTTTAGCTCACCTGAGCCGAAGGCTCAAGTGAGCTTTTCTGATCACATTTTGTCCGTCGTCCGTCCGTCCGTCTGTCCGTCTGTCTGTCTGTCTGTCCGTCCGTCTGTAAACTTTTCACATTTTTGACTTCTTCTCAAGAACCACTGGGCCAATATTAACCAAATTTGGTACAAAGCATCCTTGAGTGAAGGGGAGTTTAAATTGTTAAAATAAAGGGCCAAACCCCTTTACAAGGGGAGATAATCAAGAAAAGACAAAAATAGGGTGGGGTCATTAAAAAATCTTCTTCTCAAGAACCAGTGGGCCAGAAAAGCTGAAACTTATGTGGAAACATTCTGGGGTAGTGTAGATTCTAAATTGTTAAAATCATGACCCCCGGGGCAAGGGCGGGGCCACAATAGGGAATCCAAGTTTTACATTGAAATATATAGAAAAAAATCTTCAAAAATCTTCTTCTCAAGAACCACTGGGCCAGAAAAGCTGAAACTTATGTTGAAGCATCCTGGGATAGTGTAGATTCTAAATTGTAAAAATCATGACCCCCGGGGGAAGGGCGGGGCCACAATAGGGAATCCAAGTTTTACATTTAAATATATAGAAAAAAATCTTTAAAAATCTTCTTCTCAAGAACCACTTAGCCAGACAAACTGAAACTTATGTGGAAGCATGCTGGGGTAGTGTAGATTCTAAATTGTTAAAATCAT